CTGGGAGGATCCCTATATAGTCACGGCGGGAGTAGGTTCCTCTAGAGGCGGACAGGAGCAGAGGTCCCACCTGGCCACTCTGGGCCACCCTCTGGAGGTGCCACCTCTGCCACAGGTTGCTTGGAGGGTATCCGGCTCTATTTAATTTTATTTCTATTTATCTCTACTTAAAATACTAAATTAAACATTAACATGCAGTCCAGCCCCATAGCTATTTCCCTGGGGGACACATTTTCATATCTTTTTTTTTTTTTCCTTTTCTTTTCTTTCTGGTTAACCCTGCCTTAAAACAATGCAAAGTTATGGTGAAAGACAGCTAAGGCCTGTTGATCTCATCCCGAATTAGTCATCTGGGCTTTTTTTTTTTTCTGTCCTTGCTGGGAGTGCTCTCCATGAGATGCTCTTGGGCTTGCAGAGTCCCTCCATAAGCTTAAAAATTAAGGAATTAAGGCCACGTGAATAATACGGAAATTCAGAGGGATCCATTGATGTCCAAAGCCCAGCAAGCGAGAGAGGGTGAGGGTTAAGCTCAGAGCCGAGGATGAGGGACCGAGACCTGGCATCCAGCTCTGGCGACTAAATCCTCGGGATTTGCGAGAGGAAGAAACATTGCCATGGTGTAAAGAAACAGCAAGTTCCTGCCTGGGAGAAACCTGGCCAAGGGAAAAGGGGATCGAGGAGATGGCATTTCCACAGAGGCTTCCTGACGGCAGCGGTCTGGCATTTGGAGAGCACAGAGCAAGCACGTCCCGAGGGCTGTGCCAGAAGGGCGATCTTGCAGCGCGTGGGCAGGACGCGGACACGCCAGCACCCTAAAGCCCTTTCCCTGGTTGCACGCGGGGACGCAGACTCCTAAATTGCTCCGAAAAGCAAATCCCCCCACCCCGTTGCAAGCCGTGCGAGGTGGTCCCGCGGCGGGGAATCCCAGCAGAGCTTCCCGCGGCCTGAAAAGTTGAAGCGCCTTCAACCTTTGCCATTTGAGATCCCTCAGTTACCAGCCAGGAATGTCTGGCCTGACACTCGAGCCGTTGACCTGGAGGGGTTACAAAAACCGCCAGCGTGGCATGCGGCGGAGGGCTTTTCGTCTTTGGGGTTACCTGATTGACTCATTTGCACTGGGGTCTATTCATGCCTGCTGGCTCATGCCTATTTTCTAGGCAATTTTCTTATACGTCTGTTTTTTCAAGCACGGGGGAATCTTACGGTTGGTTTGGTCCCACCTCTGTGAGTACGTCTAGGAGCCTGTAGCTCAGCCTTGCAGAAGATCTAAAGCTGGATGGACAAAATCTGGATTTAGACAGGGCTGAGATTAGGTCCTTTCCCAGCATAGGCTGATGCAATCGCAGCCAGCTATGGAGGAAGGAGCCTGTTGTATTAGGGGAAAAGACGAATGCAAAAAAGCAAAAGAGCCACCTGCGTTTTGATTAAGAAGGAAAAGGTGGCAAAGATGGGCAAAGACCTTGGAGCCCAACCTGCACTGAAATCCAGAGGGATGGCGAAAGCCCAGCAGCCAGCCCAGGGAGCTGAAAAGCTAGGCTCAAAAACCTCGGAACGAGACAGCGACGCGAAGCGAGCCGCCGCTGCTTCTTCCTCCCCCCCGCCCCGGGCGAAGGGGGAAAAGCCGGGAGCCCCGGTGAGACCCCGCGGGCTGCCGTTGGTGTCGAGGGAGTTTGCA